TATATATATATATATATATATATATATATATATATATATATATATCTTTTTTTTCTTAACTCTAGTGTTATTATACTGATAATGTATATTTTCAGTTTCAACAAAAAAAATACATACACAAATATAAATATTAAACGATTCCTGAGCGCGCGGTCGCAAAATTTCTTATAAAAGTTATACCTTCCTTTCCAATTCGTTTTTTATTGCTATCCATATCTATTCCAAAAAACACTGTCTGTAATTTCGAGGAGTCACGACGACACATGTAAAAAATGTTATCTATAATATAATATATAATATATAATAGGAAAAATGCGTGACACTCGCTAAGACAACATCACGATACGTTGGCTTTAACTGGCTATAACTTTAGAGAATCACGACGACGCACGTGGAAAATTTTAGCTACAATGAAAACATGCGTCACACACGTTGGAAGAACCTCACGGCGCATTTTATGCTGATATATCTGATCACGACTAGTCCATGAAATTTTATAACATAAACGTTTGCGAATATTGATATCTAATCACTCAAATGCTGCATTAACGTGTTCATTGCACGAAGACGGGAACATACACACTCTATCTCTTCCATAAAAAAATATAATTGTGATAAAATCCCCGAAAGTGCTTCTTGCAATAATTCAAAGAAACGTATATAAGCGACGGTTGAACACGGAGTAAGCATCAATCATACAGTAATCAGTCCTGTAGTAAACACATCAGTTTCACGAAAAGCAGCAAGATGAAACCGTCGGGTCTCACGTTGGCTTTCTTGGCAGTTTTTATGATGGCGATAATGTACAATTCAGTAGAAGCAGCAGCAAAACCTGATGCTGATGCCGAAGCCATGGCTGAAGCTTTTGCCAACGCTATTGCTACTGGCGATGCCGATGCTATAGCTGGATGGGGGGTATGTATAACTCACATAGCAATGATAATCACAATATTAATCGCATATTCACTGTCAAATTGACTGTAAATCTCTATTTGCATATTTTAATTTTGTGTGACTTCAACTTTAGTATTTGCGATTATATTACATAAAACATATTTATCGTGTCGCTCAAAATATATCAAACTAAATATACTTCCCTTCAAATATACATAAATTTAACGTGTACTTAATATAGACAACGTTTTAGAAACATGTACTTAATATATACTATACATAATTACTATACATAATTTCTGAAATATATTAACATGATTTCTATGTTTCTTTTATATCAAGAGTATGCTTGGGAAAGCTGTGAGTATATAGAAATAATGTGTGAATAGATAAGTATGGTTGATATTATTATTGAAGAAACAATTTCATTTATAGGCTAGTTGGTTAGCGGACAAAATGGGGAAACGCTAAAGAAGACAGATGAAATAGCCGCATCGATGAAAGTACACGAAAGGACATAAATAATGCTTAACTCTGTCAAAATTTTCTTTCTGTTTACGACAACATCGTTTAAATTGAAATTCTATTAAAGAATAAAATTTTCTGCAAATTCGAACTTTTATTATCATTACCTCCTAACGCGATTCTCAAATATAAAAATATCAAAATAATATCAAGATAATGCCAAGATAATACTTGCGCAGTGAAAGGACCAATTTACAGCAGATACTAACCGTAGCATTCGCAATTCGTAAAGCTAAATAATTATATACTTGAAGTTATGAAATACCAGTATTTTTAAGATGAATATCGAACGCTAGTGTCATACGTTCATGAAAAAATGTATCTACTTCGTTATTTGCTTGCCTCCTTCCGTTTATCACGGAAGTCTTGAAGGTTTTACTTTCACGGGATCACAATATTGTACGTATACGGTTTTATTCATAAGCCGAAAAATTATTGCCGTCTTAATGGGATAATATACTTTGAAAATTTCAAAAAATCTTTTTTTATTACATATTTTAAAAGTGTTATCCTTTACACGTATTTTGAGCTCTGAACGATTGGAAATTTTCAAAAATTTACGAAGTTATAGCCGTTCAAGTTTTCGCTGGTTTTTAATTACCTGTGCCATTTTCGAGTTCGCGGGCGACGGGCTCTGCGAAATGGCCCCTATGAGGTAAACTCGGATATGATGGCCATACCGAAAAGATGACCATAGGCTATAATTTCTCTAATAATTGCGTTTGTGTAATTAGTCACAAAAATAATCGATATTTATCGTAGCGTATATGCGTACATTTTTCGAAATAGTAAGATTATGAATATTATACTATATTTTTATCTTCGACTACCTGTAAAATTTCTCATGTATTCACTAAATCTTGCTGTAACGTCAAATAAATTACAGTTAAGCTATCGCAATCAACGTTAAATACATAAAATAGATATATAAATTGTAATATAACATACATTTTTATTTTCATTTTCACTATTTATTTATAAGTACTATTATAACCATCTTTTACTCACATTTTGGGTAAGATGGTCCACTATTATTCTAACATTTATAAAACAAAAGTCGTTATATTTCAAAAATTACTTTCAATATTACAGTAATTAAATCTTATGTGCAATATGTTTTGATCAAAAAATGTATTTAAAATTTAAGTTTTGTAATAGAGGTTTCTATTTTATATGTATATTATATTTTTCACAAATAATATGTATTAAATATCCTATACTAAAATGAATATATTAAATTACGTTTTTTTCATTATTTTATAAAATAATAAGTACAGAATCTTGAACATAAAATATGTATGGGTGATTTATTCCTTATGGCTATCTTGTCTTAAACATTTAGGTAAGATGGCCATTGCTCATGTTTTGGTATTTTTATAATAAATAATTTCTCTGAAGTATTTTTCTTTTAACTCTGATGGTATCATGTACTGTAGACTTCAGTGAAGTAATGTGCCAAACGCTATTAAGAAATAACAATAAGAAATGTATTTTTTTTGCATTTTAAAAAAGTATGGCCATCTTATCCGAGTTTATCCTATACTGTTTATATTTATTAATATTTTTTAATACCAAAAATATTCTAAATGTACCTAAACATGTACTTAACTATGATATATAAAATGAACCTAATTGGTCTACTATTTCGCCAAAAAAAATCCTGAAGTTGACCCTCATTTACGTCCGCCAGAATGTATTACCTCCTTAAGAAAACCTTCTATTTACTTTATTCGTTTTATGTCGGCAACTTATCATGTGGATTCAAGGAAATTTTAGGATAAATAAATCTTCTCCTACATCAATAATTAACATCGTTAAATATAGCATTAACGTGTTTTCTTTTACACAAGATGGAACTCTCTTTGTGAAATATGAATGTAATAAAAGCTGAAGATATCGCTTGTAACGACGGTGGAAAGCGTATAAAAGCGAGGCTATACGTCGACAATAACTATCAAACGTGCAGTTAACGCAATATCAGCTTTACAAAACACTTCAAAAATGAAATTGTTGGGTCTATGGTTGGCTTTTGCCATAATTCTTGTTATGGCGATTGTGTACACTAACGTGCAAGCGGAAGCAGTAGCAGATGCCGATGCTGATGCCGATGCCAATAATCATGTAAGTGTAGTTTATATTAACCGTAATGCTAATCACATCTGTATTGTCAAATCTATTGTATGTTACTGTTATTCATGTTGTGCTTGCGTGCGATCTAAACTTATGATTAAGATTGCGTCACAGTTGTTGTCATATCGCTTTACAAACAGATACATTACGAATTATATATAAATATTAAATATAATTCTTATAAAATTTTGCCTAAGTTTTTAAAAACATTCATAATACATATACTTGCTATATACAATACATATCCGTATTTATTTAAATATAGTAATATCACTTTTGTTTCTTTTTTTTACATAGATTCACAAAGTCCGGGTAAGTATACAGAAATATTTCACAGACAGTTATCTGTGCATGATATCAATGTTGAAGGAACAATTCTATCTTATTAGAAACATCACGTAAGCAGATTTGAGAGACGAGGCAAGACACACCACAAGACACACCACACTTTACATGGTTGAAGAAAAACAAAGGAGAAACGGCGAAATATTGATTACACGGAATTACACGGAATTACACGAAATTACACGGAAGGAAAATGAATAATATACTTAGATTGTCAAACATTTCTTTTCGATTGCGTTTACTTATGACAAATATGATGATGTTATTTAAACTAGCATTCTATTGAAGAATATAATTCTCTGCAAGTGAAAATTTATCATTTTCGTCATTGTCTCTTAATGCGAATCCTAGTTTCCAAAATTTCCCTGGAGCTAATCGTAATAAGCGCAATTTACTGCAGACACTGTTCGCAGCATTCGTAATACTTATAGCGAAAAGAAATATTTCTATTTAAAAAAATACTAATATTCCTTAATATATCTGAGGAAGAAATCAAGCCGCAATAATGATCTATTTGTTCCCTGAAATTTTCTATTAAGACCTAAAATGAGATTTCCGAAATGTTTACTCTATGTGAAATCTCAATTATTTTGTATATCTTAATTGAGAAAATAAAGTAATGATATCTCAATTGTGATGTATGAAAAATAGAAAAGCTTTCTTTTTTAAATTTTTAGATTACATAATAAATATCAAGTTACTGTAACATAATATTTATAATATAATCTAAATATTTAAAAAGATAAAACTTTTCTAGTTTTCATATGATATCTCAATTGAGATATCATATAAAATAATTCAGATCTTATTTCTTAACGAAATTTTTCGAAAATTCTATTTTAGATCTCAATAGAAATTTTTCAGTATTTATTGAAAACTGAGACTGCTGCAGAGGCAATTGTAGATATTATTTCCATACCAATCTCATCATCAGATTATTGTAAAATTCATATTTCCATTGTCAAGTTATCGTCTTAAATTATAAGTCTCTATGTACACGTTCTAATTACGTGCAATTTAATGATTAACACATCATATTGCACATTGATCATAAATAGATCTCTAAATATATTAAGCTAAATACATCTCCCTTTAGATATTGTATAAATTGTTAAAATCAGACGAATGCATGGGTATACTGAAATTTTCTAATAATACACATATAGATATTTTTGTTTAAATTTTTAGATTATATAATAAATATCAAGTTATATACTGTAATATGTAATATTTATAATATAATCTAAACATTTAAAAAAGTAAAGCTTTTCTATAATTTAAAAAAAGCAAGTCTTTCTATTTTTCATATATCACAATTGAGATATCATTACTTTACTTTCTCATATATCTCAATTTAATATTAACTCGTCATGGGAAAGGTGGCGTCTGAGAATGCCCACGCATTCCATTTCGTTCTTTTCAAATCTTTGTAATATCTTCAATATTTGCTCTTCTGTTGGCTGTTATTAAATTTCAATATTCCACAGAATCATGAGAAATATAAGGTTTGAAAAATTATAAAAATACAACCAAAAAAAGAAAAAATCCAACAAATTCCACCTTTCTTAATATTGAAGAAACAATTCTATTTTAGTAGTGATTAGCGCTACCCGCTCTTATTTCAAATATGGACTAGTAACTATTGGAAGTATCGAAAGCAGTCAAGGACACAAAATATGAGAAACGAAGAAACGATGACTCTGAAAATGCACGATATGAAATGAATAATAGCTTTATTATCTCAAAATTTGCATTTTCTCTTGCGTTTACTTACGATCGGTGTTGTTACGATATCGTTTAAACTGACAATATATTGAATAATAAATTTTTCTGCACGTGTAAGTTTATCACTTTCCTTCGTGCAAATATTCCAACTTTAAAAGTCCAAATAATCTTTATGTCGCGACAAACACATTTTATTGCAGGCACTAATCGCAACATTCGCAATTTCTACATTTTATGCCGACAACTAATCACGAATAATCCATGAAAAATTTCACACGTGTTTTCTGATATTAATATCTAACTTCTAACACTTGCTGCGCAAAGGAAAATGATTGCGACAACATCCCCGACAACATTCCCGAAAAACAAATATTTATCGGTATTTAAGGCGAAAATCAAGTCATATCCTTTGTCCACAACCTTGCTTTAATCTTTAAGCCGTAATAAATTGACATAGTCGATTATTTTAAAGATAATCAACTGTGGTTAGTCAATTTCTTACGGCTTAAGAATTAAAGCAAGGTTGTGGACAAGGGGATAATGGGTGCTTTCCAATTGCAATATCCTTAGACTTTCATATACACGGCGACACAAATTGCATTCCAATTGTCGTCATCGTTGACACAACTCTACACATCCGTACTCAGCTCGAGGGCTACTAGTCGGCTGTGTAAACTAGTGTTTTCTAGTGACAATTAAAGTTAATAAGCATGACGACTTGAGAAGAGATTGACATTTGCGACGTGAAGTAGAAAGTATCTTTTTTATTGAAGATAGAAAAAGTATGAACAACAACAACAAAAAAATATATATATCTGTGAAACAAATAATAAAATCATGTAGGTGAGTTTCATTATAAAATCTTATAAACAATTATTAATATATTACTTATATATTTATGTACGTATATACACTAAAATAAGTAAAATACCTTAAAAATAAAATATCTTTTTTTTTAATGAAATATCTTTTCAGATCTTTTCTCAAATGTGATGCTTGTCTTCTCATGACGATGAATTAAGAAACTTAGCCTGATGACGAGAACGAGACGTAAGCGTCGTAGTCGTGGACGTAAAGTAAGGCAGAGAAAAAAATATATATCCGCATTTTACACAATAGTAAATCACAACTTATATGTATAAGTTTTTCTTTGTCTTAATTTACATCCATAACTACAATGCTTACGTCTCGTTTTCTGTCATCATTCTAAAAAATAGATGGTGGACATTTCTACCATGAATTAAAAATACCATGGCATGGGCATAGTGTTGAAAAATAATCCAAATCCTACCCGACATACGTATACATTAGTACACACTTTGTTCCAATCGAGTCATGCACAACGTTACACTTTGTGCATTTCTGTGTACGTATGTGTCAAGATGTGTTAAGCAATTAGAAAGCACCCAGTATTAGTTAAATAAATCCCTTCATTAAATGCTCCGTGCAATTAGCATTGCACGATGTGACGACACTACAGTGGCTATATATTATACATTTATTAAAAAAAAAATATTTACTCGCTCACTATTATTCATATCGATTCTAGAAAATATTTTGATTTAACTTTTAAATAATCACACGAGAACATACGTAAAAAATTTTATCTATAGTTGCAAAATTCGTGCTGTGATAAGAAAATCTTTTAGTACATTTTATGTCAACAACTGATCACGAATATTCAATGAAATTTTACAACATAAGAGTTTTGCGATATTAGTATCTAATCCATGAAGTGTGTTTAACATGTGTTTAGTGTTCAACGTATCTGAAAGCTGTTCTATAAATATAATTATAATAAAACCTGCAAATATCTTTTGTACAACGACTCAAGAAACTGTATATAAGCGGTGTAACATGTAGGTCAAAATCAGTCGTACAATAATCACAACATCAGCTTTGCTCAATACGAAAAGATGAAATCATCGGCTTTGTCGTTGGCTTTTGCCTTAATCCTCATGATGACGATCATGTATACTAAAGCGGATGCGGAAGCAAGTGCCGATGCTGATGCCGTTGCTGATTCCGATGCGGAAGCTAATCCTGAGGCATTCGTATGTATAACTTTCATATCTATGTCAATCTCATTGTTATATATATATATATATATATATATATATATATATATACACACACACACACATGTGTGTGTGTGTGTATATATATATATATATATATATATATATATATATATATATATATATATATATATATATATATATATATATATATATATATATATATATATATATATATATATATATATATATATATATATATATATATATATATATATATATATATATATATATATATATATATATATATATATATATATATATATATATATATATATATATATATATATATATATATATATATATATATATATATATATATATATATATATATATATATATATATATATATATATATATATATATATATATATATATATATATATATATATATATATATATATATATATATATATATATATATATATATATATATATATATATATATATATATATATATATATATATATATATATATATATATATATATATATATATATATATATATATATATATATATATATATATATATATATATATATATATATATATATATATATATATATATATATATATATATATATATATATATATATATATATATATATATATATATATATATATATATATATATATATATATATATATATATATATATATATATATATATATATATATATATATATATATATATATATATATATATATATATATATATATATATATATATATATATACACACACACACACATGTGTGTGTGTGTGTGTGTGTGTGTGTGTGTGTGTGTGTATATCTAAATATATCTTCCTTAAGATATATAAATTTTTAAAAGTAGATAAACGTGAATACTTGTTGTATATAAATATATGTACATAAAACGTTAAACTATATATAATGAAATATTTTGTTTCTTTTTATGTTATAGTGGCCAGCTCTCCTAGGTATAGTAAGTATATAGAAATTAGTAGTAAATATATAGAAAAAATACGCAAATAAATATCTGGATTATAATGATATTAAAAAAACGTTTATATTTTATTAGGCATCTGCCTTGTTAAAACGTTAACAAACGGAAGTATTGAAAGACGAAAATACACATGAAAATGGAATACGAAGAAGCGATAACTCTGGAAATAAATTAAATAATGTTCTATTTCAAAAATTTCTTTTAACTTGTGTTTATCACAGATAATTGATGTCGTTTAAATTGTCATTTGATTGAATAATAATATATTTTGCAAATTTATGTTTATCAGTTTTGTCATTATCCTTTAACCCAACGATTTGTGAGATCTCGAGACGTCTCAAAGAATACTTTTTGTACAATGTCTATTTAGAAAAACTTTTGTTAAAGAGAATATTAGAGGTAATAAGTAAATACTTTATTTAAGTATTACTTAACGTTTTTTCTCATATTTTTTTCTTATCTAATAAAAACGAAATGAGATAGACGCCATAATTTTTATTATAGCGACCATATCCACTTAAGTGAAAGCAGATACGTTTGCCGATGCTACAAAATTCTCTTCAATTTAAAGTACTGCTTACTTGAGTAAACAATATTCAGCTCAAATAAAAAGAATTTTGATTTAAATAAATACGTTGATAATGTCCACCTAATAAATATTTGTTAATTTTTAGATATTTTTTCTCAGTGTAGGTTCATTGCTTCTCAATATAATTTTGCATTTTTCTCACGACATGATACAACACAATATAATGTCAGCCTTAATCATCAAATTCATTTGAAGAAAACATTTTTGTGAAATGAAGCATTTGTCAGATGAGCTAACTCTTCATCTTTCGGAAAAATATGAGCGTGTTGCTTCTACACGGAAAAAAATTAAGTATCAATTCAAGATTTACATATTCTAATGAACGCAATCATTGTTTCATATATAAGCAAAAATATATTATTTTCCTACAACAATTTAATATTTTTCAATTTCAATAATATTATGTTATGGCAAGACTACGATAATCCACTATAGATAATTTCAAATTAAAGAAATTGTAATTCCTGGTTTGAAAATATCGTTCTTTTCGTCCAATATTCATTATTCTCAATTCAAGAAAATTATTCTTGAATAACGAGAATATTATATTTTAGTAGAACTATATTCAATTTCTTCGTGTAAGCAAGTTTTCTCTGTTTAATGCTATAATCTCATTTCAACACGAACATATTAAGAATATAGATATTCTCTAAATAAGAATGTTCTTTTTTTTCGTGTAATTATGCTCCTTCATGCATCACGCGTTTTACGATTCGCGCGCGCAGCGTCCGACAATTCGTCCCGAGATATTATTTCGCAGTATTAATTTACGAGCGGAAATATAAGTTCCGCGATAATTCCGGCGTGTCAAAGAGCACTTCGGCTGCTCTTCATTGGAGTGTACGCAAGCCGCGCCTCGTCTAACATAGTCATCTCAAATATTTAACGATAAAGTGGATGCAATCGCTACTCGGATTAATTGCGATCGCTACGCTCACAGTCCGAGCATTTCCGACGGGTGCAACATATCCCGTAGCGATCGCAGAGCCCGCATCGCTCAAAGCAAGTAAGCTCATTAAGCGACTGGCTATTTCCTCTATCAAATTGTTATTGTTGAAGAGCAACACGCAAAACATTTCAAATTCGCCCGTCACTTGACGATATTTATCGCCGGTGAGAGCACTCACTGTCCGCTCACGCTTTGTGTTATGAATTATTACGTCGATATGTACTCGCCACATCGGCGTCGATACTTTATAAATATTGCAGTTATACGTGCGTGACGTCGGGAAATTTAATAAATCGCCCGCGCCGCTGGCGCGCGCCGTAAACATTACGGCATGTTTTTTCCCCGTCGAGAGACCGATGTAAACGTTTTAATAACACTTTCCCCGCGCTTGTGCGCGAATATTTACGTAAACATTTCAATTACGACCCTCTCTAAACGATCGATCCGGGGTAAACGTGCCGCATACACGCTTCTCCGATGCTCGCGCGGTGCGATCTATGACGTGCGATATATTTCGCCTGGATCCGATTGGATCGACGTTATTTTGGCTTTAATCAAGACTAAAATGAGTACTTATCTTATTTAGAAAGAAAAACAAAAATAGACATATATTTAAGCCTCGCTTAAGGGGACTGGAGGATCATATTGCCTGAAAATCGTGCTTGTTCTTTCGCAATTTTTTATAACAAACTGAGTGAATATGCGAAAGTGTTATTTTGACGTGTATTTATACAACATATAAAGAGAAGAAAAATATAATTTTGATGATCAAATACTCAATATAAGTGGGTGGTACATGCAGTTAAAATATATTTTCGTGTTTCTTTTCAAGGTCGTTATTTTGCAGTAATATCTCGCTGGTTTAGTTAAGCTGAATTTTAGATAGAAAATTTCCGTAAGCTTGTCGTTATCGTGTGAACCACTGACAAACTCGTGAAAATACTTAATTGTGAAATATTAATTTTTTTACTATAAAAGAACTGAAAATTTAATAATATTCCATTAAGATATTTGCAATTTTGTTAATTTTTACTCATTTTCTATTATAGTGGTTCACACGACAAGCTTACGGAAATTTTCTACCTAAAATTCAGCTTAATTAAATCACCGAGAGTTAAGATATTACTGCAAAATGACGACCTTGAAAAGAAAAACGAAATATATTTTAACTGCATGTACCATACACTTATTGGGTGTTTCCGAAATACCCAGAGTTGGGTCGAGTTGAGTTAGTTCTATTATAGTATATATAACGGATACTATAGTGGAACTAACTCAACTTGACCCAACCCTGGACATTTCGGAAGCACCCATTGAGTATTTGATCATCAAAATTATATTTTTCTTCTCCTTATGTTGTATAAATGCACGTCAAAATAACACTTTCACATATTCATTCAGTTTGTCATAAAAAATTGTGAAAAGCACGATTTTCAGGCAATCTGACCCTCCAGTCCCCTTAAAACCAAAATAACGTTGGTGCAACCGAGCCTTAGCGCGCGCCACGACCGCGAAGTTTCGCATCCCCGACGAAAGCACGATCCCGTGCATCATCGTCTGCACGCTCGTAACAATCCACTGGTCCCCACGCACTAAGCCCCAGGCAATCGCATTAGTACAATTAATGCACAGCGGATTGTTATTTAAGTGGAAGAGAGAAAGAGAAGCGCGGTCGGCCGGCCAGCTCTCTGCGTCTCTGATTAAATATCCCGCTGGGTTTACACTAAATTAATTACCGGCAGACGAGAGTTGTGCCTTCCACGAGAGATTCAGAGAGGCTCCTCTCCCCCTCCTTATTACTGCAGCAGGGCGCGGTGCGCGTACTCGAGAGTTACGCGAATCGGGTTTCTTTCGTTCACCCGCGAGCGAAATGAGGATAATCATAACTGTTTTAGCGCTGGCAAATGCGTGGATTAATCTCGCGTCAAGAGTTCCCGCCGACGCAGCGGTATCAACGATTCTCTTACCTTGGCCGACGCGTCGGGCTTGTGTCACCAGCGCACGCTTCCGTAGCGGACATGTTGGTTTCTGCAACACGCCAAACAAAAGTGCACATTTTTTCAACCGCCGGCTCACACGGGCGTTTTGAATGTCGCGCATTCGCATGTGGAAAACGCGAAGATATGTCGCGACTACGCTCATCGCGCGTCCGCGCGAGTCTGGACAGTTTATGGGGATGCTGAAGTCGCTGACGAACTCGAACAATGTCAATGACGATCGTCACTGACACAATCACGCTACTCTCTTCGCATTTCTTGTATATACAAAATTGACGTAAATGTATGTTGCTTTGGTCAGATTAAAATAAAATAAGAAAATAAAATAAAAACCTAGGCACAGGTGTAAAAGTGCAAGCAAATTTTTTAACAATCTCAAAATATATTACAAATTATTTGACCTGTTTTAACATTTTTTTAAGCAGGTTGACATTTCTTTGTATTTCATTTTAACTTATTATGAGAGTTTCAATCGGATTTGCATCGTCCACTAAAACGTTGTAGTTCTTGATCTTTTTTGACGGTTGTGGAGAGAGAAGAAATTTAATTTTTCGTTGGGATTATGTCACCGTGCGTTTTGCGAGTTAGATTATGAGCGTGCGAACTATTTATTAACCACCGAAATGTTTAACTGACTGCAAATACTCTATTTGTAGAAAATGATATTACTAAAGAGGACCTAAAACAGGTGGAAACGTATAATTTGTAATATATTTTGAGATTATTAAAAAATTTGTTTGCACTTTAACATCTGTGTCTAGGCTTTTACACGCTATTTTCTCATTTTATTTTAATTTGATTTTACATTTAAGGGCCATTTTAATTTATTTCGATTTTCCTTTTATATGTTGCTTTCCATATTTCCCGCGGAAAATATAACCATGTGTAGAGATCTTTCTGCAAACTTTTTCAATATTCTTAGACTTCTGAATTCAGATGCGAAGATACAGTAATTCTCTTCTAGACTTTCCTGTTTGGAACATCCACACTTTTGGTATGTACAAACTGCGGAACTTTCGCAATTAGATAAATATTAAGTTAATTAACAGCTTGAGATTTTACATTTAAATTTTTTTTTTCGTTTATGTCACATACTCGTATTGAGCAATGCTCCGATTAATTTTTGCATGCACTTTCATTGTGCAAAAGCATTTGTAATTCTTTACAATCAATACGACATAAACTTTGCGAAAAAATAACAATATTCTGTCCGTAAAGTTTTCAGCTTCAGCGTCCCCTTAATGACGTTTAATAACATTTAACGATGCACGCAATTTGTGACATTGCCTTATATAGTGAGCCGATTATTAATTAAGATACAATTCATCGTAAAAGACCGATTTCTAAAGAGTGATTAAATTGAAACCATTTTTTGTGATTCTCAACGCTTCTTTTTTCACAGGAATGTTAATAAAGTCGACCGATGCGCGTATCTCTGGTCGCTGTAGAACTAATTAGACCCCTTGAGTAACCTTTTTATCGAGAATCGCGTAATTATCCAAGATAACGCCGCTTGTATGCGTCGCACCTCTGTCGTCCTAATTACGTTGCGTTTATGGGTCGTAAAAAAAGCGTCGCGTGAATTAAAGCGCATAGATATTATCGCAGTTTTCCACATCTTGTGCTTTTCCTAACTCGTTATGTGACCATATTCGATCGTCTCTACACGGAGACAGAATTTCATAAGCAAAATATTAGTATAATATTAGTACATAATTAGTAACAAAATATTAATATATATTAGTACATAATTTTGTAATCGAGAGAAACAGATCGACGTTCTGCTGTAATATATGATCCTTTCGCTTCATACATGCTACTTATATTTCAGAAATTATGAAATGTGCTGAATTGAAAAATTTTCGTAAATTTGCTTAGAATTGCAGCACAAAAAGCTGCAAAATAAACGGTATGTCCGGTAACGAGATCGGTAACCTCGGGTGAAATGTGGTAGAAACGTCGACACGACGACCGCAATTGTACCGCGTGCGAACCAACGGCAACGAAATAATTCACGGTTATCACTTATGACAGACGCGATCGCGCGCGCATCGGCGCGGCTGCGATGCCACGGTTGCGATTCGATACGAATGCGATATCACGCGCACCTGACCGCTACGCGTGCGACGAGATTGGCCCTTTAAACCAAATGGTCGGTTTGTAAGCGATGACAGCTCCGGTCTGACCGCTTCTGTGCGCGCCAAGCGAAAGCGCTATTCAATTTCCTTTCATCTGGCCAGGATGCGGAGATACGCCCTTCGCATCTCGGCCGAGGCTCGGCTGCATAAACGCATATTCCAATCTGCGAGCGGGATCGATCTACCCCCATCGCACCCTCTCGCCCTTCACTCGCACCACCTGGGCTCTTCCGCTTCAAATTCGACCATTCGTCATCGCGCGCGACTGTCCATTCTCTCCCCCGCAGGTAAACCGAGATTCCCTTCATCAAGTGTGAGGACTGCGACGCGGTCAGTCGCAAACAGATCGTCGCGACGACGCTTTTTCCCCGACAGAGCTCTCACTCGCGACAGTGTCTGCGAACTTGCCCGCGAATCGTCGCGAATTACGCTCCACCAGCTTGCCGGCGAATCACGCTGCTAAGTGCAATTGGCACGTACTCGGTGTGCACGTAGAATTCATTTAAGCAAAGTAACAGGAGTATCCTCTTCGAGTAAATAGCGAGAGAGGTCCCGACGATTTGCGCAATCGGATCTTTGGAATCGAGCCTCGACGGCCAAGAAAAAGGAAAGAGGAGACAGAGAGAAAGAGAGAGAGAGAGAGAGAGAGAGAGAGAGAGAGAGAGAGAGAGAAGGGAGAGGAAAGGAGAGAGTTTAATCACGGAGGACCAGTTCACTCGTGTAGCTTTTCGCTCTTTACGAAGCTAACTTTAGTCGGCGAGCAATTTCCATCGGCATACGACTGCGCGACGAGAAAAAAGATTCGGGAAATTCTGTCGGAGGCGCCTCGGCCACTTTTCATTATACAGCTGCTTTAGCGACCGCTTGCGGACTGTCAAGGATATTGCGCGTGTAACCGCGTCGCCACGAAAATCAGTCCCACCGTATATTCATTTCTTTCGTTCACCTCGTCTTCTTGTCTCCTTCGTCACTGACTTTTATACTGTGCACTGAGCGTTCCGCACTCATGAGGATGATGGACGCGTTACAGCAGCATCGTGTGTGTCCTTAATTCTTTGAGACGTACGATTAATTGGTCGTGAATTATCAAGCTACGAGAAAATACACGTATCGTCGAACTTGTCCGGTGACGCCATTATCGTTGACATTCTTATTCCGCCGCTTGTCCATGTAGATTGAAAAGTTGGAAAAATAAACGACAGCGTCGAGCTAGTTCCGTATATTTTTCTTCTTAAAGTTCCATTTCTCGCGCACACAGCGCTCGATTATTCTCTTTGTGTCTCTCTCTCTTCCCATCCCTCCTTCCCTGCCACTTCAGAGAGCTCTCGCGAAAACCCGTGTAGAATTTATTAAGCCCCGACTGTTACACAGAATGTATTTCAATCTCCCGACAAAAGCCCATAACTCGCAATCAATACGGCACGTGCGATATCGAATAACAAATGAAAACGTAAATTTCCCTATCTCTCTTTTCACTCCCTCTGCGTTTGATATCGCGTAAATATACGTTTCGTATTTCTCGAATGTGTGAAGCAATATTGCTGATGCTACACATACACACACACACACACACACGTTCTTGCAAAATTAATTTTACGAATGAGAACGCAACACACACCCCGCTCAATGTTCGAATGTATTTGCATTAGGTGCATTTACATGGAATTAACATCTTGCATGGTTTCAATATGAATTATCAGAGCGCAGGATGCGCGAGAGCGTCATATGGTCGCGGCGGGAACGATGCACACAGAGATCGCGAGTAACACGTATTCGCGCGCCTTATCATATTTGATATACAAAACAGAATCCCTCGACAATAGCAAATCGACAAACAATATGCTTAATCAGCACCGGTGACAGCCAATTAATACGCTGTATTCGCAGTAAATCTGACGTAAAAGGACGGCCGCTCTAATTAGAAATCCATCTCTCCCTCCCTCCATCTCTCTCTCCTTCCCTCCCTCTCTCCCTCTCTCACACACATATACATACATACATACACACACACACAGCTTGCCCACAGGATTTATGGGTTCCCACTAGTCATTGAGAACTTCTCAAAAAATCATTTAAATGCACTGCTGCGGATTTGTAAAGCCAGATACCATCCTACATTAGAAACGCGATTTCCCTGCACAGTTTTAATATTTTTTGTATTTACTAAAATGTCAGCGAGATTGTTTTTGATTTTGACAACATGTAATCTCACCGTTTTGTTTGCACTCTTCAGATATATACACTTTAGATATGTGTGTTTGTGTGCGTGCTTTGTATTCTTTTTATTGCAATTGGATTTGCATTTAATGTTTAATTTTTGTAAAAATTCTATTTTTGTATACTCACTCTCTTTTCTCTTCTTTAGTCATTAATCTTTATAACATTAGTTTTATTTCGATTTGGCTTGTTTTTCTCTTTTCTTGTTTTTTTTTAAATTATTAATTATTGTATAATTAAATTATTATAAATTAAATTATTGTATAATTGTATACCGCTCATGCGCTTGAAAGGACTTGTCCCAGGACGCCAATAAACTATATTGTTTCTCTCTCTCTCTCTCTCTTCGGCATATCTCTGGTTGCCTCCCGTGTGACCTACTAGAAGCAATTTCTCTATTGGTTTGTAAAATATAATCGATGTAATGCCATGTCTCTCTCTATCTTCCAGTTTTAATTTATTCGACATTTCCCATATTTTCCAAAAATTATTCGCGAAACGCGTGTCGGACGGTCTCTCTGTGAGAATTTATTCATTTTCTGGATCCACAGCCATGCGTAAAGTCAATTCAGCAGAAAGCTAACAACATTGATTTGTATAAAAATTTAAATTTCCGAGTAATACATTGACTGACGCTTTTCACGTGTCGAAAAATGATTATCGACCGCGCTAAAGC